TTCGCCTCATTCGGTTCGGTTAACCACGATTTTCGATTTTACAGTTTGAATTGCCATCTCTAATTGTAATCACATGTATTCATTTCCATGTGAGCCTGCGCGACTCCTCCTTGAGGGTGGGCAAAATTCGATCGAATCCGTCAAAATCTCCCAACTCGATCGATTTGAGTTGATTTTTTGTCATTTTTACACGGGTTGGATGAGTTGATTGTATTGAGGGGTTAGGTTGGGTTATGTGTTAACTAATAAAAATCGAATAAACCCGTCCAACCCAATCCGACTTGACTATATTTATGAACTTTACAAGTGTTATAATATTGTTTGGAAACTCTTAGAATAATATTATAGGATTTGGATAGAATGCATTTTACGAAAAATAGTATAAGCAAATACATATTCAACACAAAAAAATTTTAATTACAAAAAAACATATTTTGACTTCATATAATTTAATATCAATGTGACCATATAACATTTTCGGGCATGAAGTGCCAAAATAATTCAGATTCTTTTGTTCATTCAAACTATGGAAACCAAACATTATATAAGTCATGAGTCAATTATAAATCCATCAAATTCGACTCGCTTACTTTAGTTTTTGTTAACAAGTTATTTCAACCCGACCAATTCGATCGATATTTGATTGGGTTGGGTTGGGTTTTAACATTTACACGGGTTGGGTTAAATCGTGATCAAATCGATCGTTTTATGTTGAGTTTGGGTTGAGACAAAAATCGACCCAACCCAATCCGTGCCCACCCCTACTCCTCACAAGGCAACTATTCTTTTATAGTTTTTTTTTTTTTTGGTTAATTGATTTTCCCCTTTTTAATAAGTACTTAACTTTAAGTAGGGTATTCAAATCACTTTTTGTTTAAAGGTTAGTTCTATTTTAGATTAGAATTATATTAAAGACATATTTCTTTAAAAGGTGAAGTTTTTGCTTAGATATTTATATTTGACTTGTTTTTAAATGTAAGTGCTTTCTTGACATCATCGTAATTGAATTATCAAAAATACTACTTGTACATCAA